CCCACCTCCCCTGCCCTTCATTAACTCCCTCTCCTGCCTCACTCTCTATTCATCTGACCCTCTGTCTGACTTTTATTCATTCAGGTCCACACCAGCGGCATTAGACCCTGGACCACGGTCCAGTCCATCACTGGGTCACAGATTGAGACAAACAACAGTTCACAGTGAAAACCACTAGAGACACGCACGCTCCGTACAGACGGACCAGAGATTGAGCCAACCAAAAAAAACCAAAAAAAACCCAAAAAAAAAAAACAAAAAAAAACTCCTCAACCTCAACCGTCAGTTTTCCTCAGTGACCTTAGTCATGTTCATTTCCTGTTTTGTTTTTTGTTTTTTCCAGGTAGTCATTTTGTCCCTGTTTATTTGCCCAGTGTTGATAAACAGAAGGTCATGGGTTCTGTTCCCGTGAAGAAGGAGGTCGGAGCGGACGATGGTGAGGAGCAGGATGTGAATGGCTGCTGCAGCCACAGCTGCACTCAAGGAGTTATGGAGTCGTTTAAGTTCCAGGACAGAAGAAGGGAAGAAAAAGGAAGGATGGGAAAGAGAGAGGAGAGAAAATGGAACAGGGGGAAGAAGAAGTAATAACGGGGAGAGTGAGTTACCTTCCTCTCAACTTCCTACGATGGAATGACCCGGAGAATCTCCACGGTGGAAATTAAGGTCAGAAGTGAAAGGAAATAGGAAGAGGAATAAGACAAGAACACAGGAGAACTGGAGGACGAGACGGGAAATAAAAAGGTAAATAAAAAGTGAATTTCTCCAGAAAGTGAAATAAGGAGCAGTCGGAGCGAGGCGCAGGTGAAAAACAGGAACAGAATGAGGATGAAAGGAAAGACGATATCAAAGAAAGGGCGAGAAAGTGAAACCGGGCGGGAGAAGACAGAGGACACAAGGATACATGTGAGGAAATGAAAGGTGAGGAGGAAGAGGAGGGAGAGGAGGGAGGAAGGATCTGTAAACTTAGATGAAAACAGGAAAGAAATAGAGAGAAGAGGAGAAACAGGAGAGGAGGTCAGACGTGTCAGTCTGAAGAACCAGGAGGAACCACTGGGTGTCACCGTCACTCACAACATCGACACGGTATCGTGACAAAATATCGCAGTATTTCGGTGTCAAAATGTTCTTGAACTCTTATTCTGAACAGCGCCTCCTGTGGCAGCCTGTGTCAATTGCAGGACACTGTGAATTTACCAATCGTGGGACTCGATTGTTATTATTATTATTATATTCATACTATGTCTGCCACCAACCCGGGCAGAGAGACGGTTGCCATGGAAACCCAAGCTTCCAACACCACAGAGAACGACTGTGGCACAGTGGTGGTCACAGATTACAGGAGGAAATATGTTTTTACACCTCATTAAATCAAGCTAACACTTCTGGAAACGGCCAGTGGAAACACGGACGCAACGACTGGGCCATAAACACCTGGTACGATACTTCCCCTGGTCATTAAAACACACACACACACACACACACACACACACACTCCTCCGTTTACAGGAACCAGCTGGTCCATCCGTGACCAGGCGTTTTTTTACTGGACGTGGGCGGATCTTCACTCAGCAGCCACTCAGGGAACCATCAGGAAGTGAGTGACGCTGGTGCTGAGTGGAAACGTTGGGGAAAGTTCCAGCGATAAGACAAATATAGTCCAGACCAAACGAAGCGATGCCAGAGTCAATCAGTGTTTCAGAGGAGATGATTTATTTATTTATTTGGTTTCACACTCACAGTAAGAAGAGGCAGAAATGACGACAAACCAGAGCAAAAAGAGAGAGAGAGAGAAAAAGTTTTTTTTAAATTCCCTGAGGAGTTGGTCTTGTCACAGCAGTCTGAGCTGGAACTTGGAAGTCTTTCATGTGGAGCTAAATGTCAAACATGGACTTCAATCGTTGAACAAGGC